CACGTGAAAAATTTTCACACACACATTTTCACGTTTGAGATTTATATGATTCCGCAAAATTGTACATGATCGTAAGTTCACGTGAAACTTTTCATTTTTCACATTCCGCCCTAGGAAAAGTTACATGATCGACCTCCAGGTGTCTAAGACTGGCGCGCTATACTGCGCTATGCGGGCCATAGTACTTTTCGTGGATGCTTTGCTAGGTATTAGTTGTGTGAGCGAGGGACCGCCACAATGCTTAAGCTAACATTTCAACCAATAAAATAATTGTATGAATTTATTTAAAACGATTTTAAATATAAGAACTGACTATGAATACCGGCCTTTAAGTGCCATTCTACAATATTCTTAGTCCCAATTTACAATAGGTGATTTAAGTCTTAAATCATAAGAAATGGACAAATCGTAGACGAAGAATAGAATAATCGACTATGATTGGTCAATTTCTTATCAGTCAATTATTCTCTTATTCTTCGACTATAATTCATTCATTTCTTTATGAGTTCTCTATGGATTAAGGCTTACAAATCACCTAGAGTGCATTTGTTTACGCAATGTTTTGTGCATCTATTGCTTTCTCATCTGCTTGTCACGTGATCGAAATTTATCGAATGGATAACTGCGTGAATAACTGCACGGATCGTACCTTCCAATAGAAATTGAGTCAATTATTTGAATGATAAATAAAGAGACAATTTTATACATAAATTTATATTTAAATAATTAAAAATGTAATAAAACTTTTTTATTGTATAAAAAATAATATTTTATTGATATTAAATTTAATTGATATAAATAATGGATTATAAAAAATATTTAATCTATGAATTTTACTTAAAAGTTAGATATTAATTTTTTGTGAATTTTATTATTCTTATTTTTTCTTATTTCTTCTTATTTTTATTCTTACTTTTTCTTATTTTTTTTTATTTTATCTTATTATTTTAATTATATATCTTATTATTTTTTTTTACTTGGATCAATTATTTATTTCTAACCCTTTTCGCTTCTTATTCTAATAAAATTCATTTTGATGTTTACGCAGTACTACAAGCAAAGCATCCAAAGCAGGACTTCCGAGATAGCTGCACAGATGAGATACAGCCCTGCGTAAACGAATGACGAATTGCGCTGCAGTCACTTTCGCAGACGGAGTAAACGAACGATATCTGCGGTAGTGACTGCATAAACGAATGCACTATGTGATACATAAGTTTTTGAGGATCAACTTTCAGTAAATAGAGGAGTTAGCGATCTAGTATGTAGTATAAATGTCTATGTCCATGTCCCAATGGCGGATAATTAAAAATGAAATAAGGATTTCCGTAAACAAACAAATATATTTTATTAACATTTTATAAAAATTATATAATAATTTTTAAAATTATGTGCTGATTAAAAACAGATGTAAAATATATAAAAATATTACTTATTGTCTTTTAAATATAATAGTTTTTGTCAATGTGTGCCGTATAAAAGAATTATGTTTATTTCTTGTTTCATACGCTCCGAAGTACGATATTTTAATATTATTACGTTTAAATAAGTTCGTGCAATCAATTTAATTAACTCGTATTTATGGTTTTCATACATATTCAGAATATGTAAGTTTCGTATATGATCATCAAATGATATGAACTAATATGCACTGACCAATCACTCATGCTTCAATGACATCACGTCATTTTAGTTTGTAGAACATGGTAGCGCCACTGTTCAAATTAATGTTGGTGTCGAATGAAGGGAGCTACTTAGCAGTCCATATTTATGTAATCAAAGCCTAACATGCATACTGTGTCTCTCTCTCGCCAAATAGCTCTTTACTAAAGTGCCAATTGGGTGTGTCGGTGCGTGTAAATGACCAATGGAATCCACGGTCCGTGTCGGCCGGTTTATGGCTAATTGTACGGTTAAATTTTACTGCATTATATCATTTGTATCTTATTTCGCAATCGTAGTCATTTATATTTGAACATTTGTGTAGGAAAATAAGGTAATAAGAATTGCTTTGGGCGTTACACACGGATTGTTAATAATCTGATATACTCACTATTAATTGGAAATAATCTGGATAATAATCTTAACTTTCAATTTCTCTCCCTTTCTTTCTTCACTGTCACTATAGATAAGATATCGGAAGATAAAGGGATAAATTGATAATTTAAAATTAAGATTAGGAAATATTTAATTCAAAGCATCAACTTTACTACATACAAAACATCTTTCAATTATAATTGTCATTTTAGAATATACTTATGTAAGGAATTTGTTATAAGTTGAATATAATTTCGCAAAGTTTTATATTGTTGGCTATTAAAATCGTATTCTAATGGTTATAAAAAATTGATAAAATTATGTTTTTGTACATTGTGTGATATATTATAACTATGCAATTCATCGAACGAAGTTTTTAAGCGCTTTAAGTATTAGTTAAGCGAGCGTGGCATAGCAAATAGCACACTGGTCTACTATGCTAAAGGTCCCGGATTCGATTCCTAGCAAAGTTAAAATATTTACGCTCGTCTCGTTTTGGAAGACAATGGCAAACTACCAAGAGTAACTTTGCCTAGTACGTCTATCAAAAATTTGCCGTTCGGAATCAATATTAAACTGTAGGTTCCATATATACCTGTGTATAATCATCATGGGTACTACAAGTATATGAGAGAGATCCATCATGCTTAGACATAAGCAATGGGACTGAAAGAAGAAGTATTAGTTGATGCTTGACCTATAACACATGGCAACTAGAATAGAATAGAATTTATTTGCACTTCAACCTTACAGTCAAGAAAGGGACTTGACTTATAGAATTATTTAGCTATACTCATCCTTCTATATCTTATTTGGCCTATTATATCTGTTCTTTATATCTGTTATTTATAACTTCTGCTTTGATGCTTCCATCTGCTTGTAACCCTTGTAATGGTAACTAGTAATTGCATATTTTAAAATAATCACACATATATATCCTTATATACTATGTATATGCATATAAAATATATCATTATTTGACTTTGGACTAGAACTGACATATTAATTTGTCACATCCTCATTTGATTCTTGTATTATTGAATTATACAGAATCAGAATTTTATTGTAAGCAGTCAACATCTTTTTAATCGCAATGTCAGTACAATGGTTTAGGATATTAAAGATAGGTATGCAAAATCCATAGTTTTGCTCATAATAGTATAATAAGAGGGATTTAACAAAATTATGATGATGATGATAATAACGATAATACTTCTTGTTTCAAAATAATTTAGTCTTTTCAAAATCAAAGTAGCAAATAAAACACAAAATTAAGAAAGGTATATTTTCAGGTTATTGCAGTATGATTCATAAGAGACCACGTCCATTAGTAGTGTGTGGTCCTTCGGGCACTGGAAAAAGCACTTTGATAAAGCGATTGTTTGACGAATTTCCTGGCACTTTCAAATTTTCAGTGTCTCATACAACTAGGGCGCCTCGACCTGATGAACAAGATGGAATTCACTATCATTTCACAAATAAAGAAAAAATGCAAGAACAAATTCAAAATGGTGAATTTATTGAAACTGCTACATTTAGTGGGAATTTATATGGAACGAGGTAAATATAAATGCGAGTATCAGATAGATATATAGAAAGCAATACAACCTAAATGTCATTGTAGCAAACAAGCAGTTGAAGAGGTACAACGCTTAGGAAAGGTGTGCGTACTAGATATCGACATACAAGGCGTGAAACAAATAAAACACACAGACCTCAATCCTCTTTACGTATTTATAAAACCACCTTCTATTATAGAACTAGAGCGACGATTAAAAGCTAGAAACACAGAAACTAAAGAATCCTTAGAACGTAGATTGTCGATTGCCAGAGCTGAATTAGAATATGGTATGCTGTGTACATGATTTATAATTAACATTCTAAAAAGATCTTAAAAGTATGTCGCGCGCGCGCGCGCGCGCGTGTGTGTGTGTGTGTGTGTGTGCGCGTAGTTTTAA